GGGGCACCGACTTGTCAGCCGCCCTTTTGCACGCCCCTGAATTTGGAATAAGCCTGTCAGATTTAGACTTTTTTTTTTTTAAATTATGAGGGCAAAATCATAAGGAGGAAAAAAATGGATTCCGTTTTGGAATAAAGCCGAAACATAATAAAGTGGAGTACTCCACAGAACTTCCCAGATGCAGCGTATTTCTCGGAAGGCTTTTGGAGAAGCTTTTAAGTTCCGCCGCTTGGATATAAAGCGCTCGCGCAATCCCGGTCGCAAGTGTCGGGACTGCCCCCTGCCCCCCCCGGGCCCCCCTTCTATGTAGCCAAGTGCCCCGTGTCGGCGCGCGCGTGATCCCGGGAGAGGAAGCAGTCGTCGGCGTGGACGAAGCGGCCGGCGTCGCGGTCGTAGGCCAGCGTGGCGCGGCGCCGGTCGTCGTCGCCGTAGCGCAGCGAGTGCGCGTGCACCTGCTGGATGTGGCGCTTGATGGTGCTCACCTTCAGCGTGGCCAGCGCCGCGCCGCACACCATGCAGATGAGCCCGTGCCGCCGGCAGTCGTAGTCCATGAGGAAGTCCGTGCGCCAGCGCACTTGGTAGTTCCGCCGCTGGTCCTTGCCCGGGTAGTGGCCGTGGCGCGGCGTCGTCGCGTCCTTGGCCGTGTCCTTGACTCCTCCTCCGTCCTCCTCCTCCTCCTCCTCGTCCTCTTCTTCTTTCACCGCCGGTTTGGTGTCGGGGGAGCTGTTCTCATTCGGGCCTCCGCTGGTATTGAGGACAGCGGCGTCACTTGTGCTGATTTCTGCAGATTCGCCAAGTAAAAAGTCAAGACGGGAGGAAGGCGCTTTTGTGGTTGCAAACCCCCCAAAAAGGAACGGCAAAATGATGTCGAGCCAAGCGACGTACGGTGCATCCGGCAAGTGTTTGCAGCGCTTTACTTTCCCCCACGCCTCCCACATTTTTTTTTTCAATTTCTGCACCAACGCCTCACAGTTGCATGAAAAATGTTTTTGTCAAAAATGAAACCACTTTGCTCATATGTGTCACCTCGACTTTTTCCACATTTTATCTGACAGCCTTACTCCTCAATACTCGCATGTTTGCATATTACATGATTGTTTTTTTCATTTCTACAAATTTATAAAAAATATAACACTGATCTTTTCCTAAATTTTTTTTTATTTTTTAGCTGACCTTATTCCCACGTGGAATGAACAAATTAAAATTCCATCTCACCGTCTTGCGCCAGGATGCCGTCGGCGCAATAGTCTTTGGTCCAGGCGGCCGCTCTGGCTTCCCGTTCTTGCTGGCTCAGGCTGAACGTCTCGGGATGGCATTCCTGGATGTGGCGGCGGAAGCTCCGGACTTGCGTTCCGCGCAGCACCTGAGAGCACACCATGCAGTAAACGTGGCGGCCCCGGGGCCCGTACGCCACCAGGTAGTCCAGGCGCAGCTGCCACGAGTCGCCGCACGCGCCGCGGCGCCGCTTGAGCCGCCGTCGTCGTCCATCGGACCGCCGTCCCGAGACGGCGAGGCGTCCCACGTGCCGCGATCGGCCTCGTCTTTGGCGTTTGCTTCTGATTGGATCGAGTTCTCCGACTCGTCTGCCACGGCCAAGAGGAAAAACAATTTTCAGTCCTGACGAGTAGTTCAAGTTCAAGTCAACTTTACAGCACAGATGAAATGTCTTTCCTCTCAACCACAGGAGAGAGAGAGAGGAGCCGCCGCGGGTGCCCGCGCCGCCATCAAAAGAACAGTTAACATAAAATGACCAAAAAAATCAATCCAAAAAAAAAAAATCAGTGTCCTTTCACCAGTGGATCAAAGACGTCATGCTGAAAATGTGCACATGTCTGCTACAAGCTAAGTTTGAAAGCAATCAAGAAGCTGTAGCGTCTTGATTGTGTGACTCGGACGGCGCGTTTCGTACGCGTAGCATTTTGTGTCCCTTTTGGCTGGCTCTTGGCAACGAGTTTGGGTCACGAGCAACATGTCTGACGAGTGAGGACAAAGCGTACTAGTACATGGACCTTCAGGTGTAGCCTTAAAACGCAGGCTACAGGTGCCTCATGTTACAGGTGTAGTACGGTAGGCGCAAGCTAAAAGGCAAGCACAAGTAGTGGGCGGAAAAAACATTCCGAATGAAGTTTTAAAGCAAGCGGAGCATTTCGTGGGTCTCCTTGCACTACTGCGTGACATTTCTGCGTACTAGTAGAAAGACTTCAAAACAGCCCTGGATGACTAAGCAGCACTAGTACGACCAATGAACTGGTAGATGTTAATTAGAAGACTTTGCTCAGTGGTTGTACAAGCATCACGCAGTGTGTGCGCAGTTTTGCCCCACGAGTAGCGTTGTAGTCCTGCAAATGCGCTCGAGTGGAGGGCACGAGTTGAACCAAACATCACTCGTGAGAAAGGTGTTGGGCCAGTCTGCCATTGATGTTATCGTAATTCGCAGAGATGTCAATAGTAAGACAGTTGTGTCAGTGCCCCCCGGTTACTCTACTTGGGCGCTGAAATGTCAAACAGGCGTGGATAAATGTCACTTGTCAGACAGTTGTATTATTTAAAAATCATGCGGGGGTGGGGGGGGGGGACTGATAACTTACTAGTTAGTGTGTCGTAGTTGTTTCACTCGTGCACGGAAATGTCATGTGGTAGAGCAGGGGTGTCAAACTCATTTTTGTCATGGGCCACATTTTTGTGACCATTTTCCTTTGGAGGGAAACCAAATAATAAAGGTCGATAATCACGGATTATTTAACTATTGTTTAAGTACTGTAATGAGGGGTTTGTTGGTTACAAGAAAACGCTTACAATATGTCTCTTATTTATTACATGTGAGAATTTTAAATTTTGTTTGGGATTTTAACAAACACTGTGGAAGGTGACATGTTTGATTTGCTTTCGCGGGCCACATAAAATGATGTGGCGGGCCAGATGTGGCCCCCGGGCCTTGAGTTTGACACCTGTGCGGGAGAGGAAGTTATGGCAGGAGTGCGGGGGGGGAGGCGGAAATCACGATTAAGACGGTTGTTGTACGAGTGCGGCAAAAGTCTTGGAGTTGTGGAAAGGCCCGGCGGGTCTCCCAAGTGCGCTAGATGCTCTTCTTAGTGCGGCCACAGAGGGTCGTAGCGCAAGAGCCGTGCTCACCGTGGGTGTGAGCCCAGGCCTGCAGGACGCAGTGCTTCTGCTCGGAGGAGTAGACGAGCGAGTCGGGGTGGCGCTGGAGCACGTGGCTCTTGATGTGGTCCAGGTGCAGCGAGGGCAGCTGGCCGCCGCACAGCATGCACAGCAGCCGGCCCGCCTCCGCCTCGTACTCCATCAGGAACTCCTGGCGGAACCACGCGTGCAGCGACGCGTTCAGGTAGCACTCCAGCGTGCGGGCCTCCGCCGCCGCCGCCTCGTCGCCGGCCTCGTCGCCGGCCTCGTCGCCCGCCGCCTCGGGCCCGGGAGAGAGACTCCGCCTCTGCTGCGGCTGCGCCTCGGGTGCCGCGGCTCCTGGAGGATGTGGAGCACAGATGAGTCGCGGGAAAAAAAAAAAAAGGAATAATTCACACAGGTGTATTATTTTCCAGGTATTTTGAATTTAATGACAAAATAAGTTCAATCATGAAATCGTAATTCATGCACACTCATGATGAATTTCATTACAAATTGTGGGGGGAATTGTCGACTTCTGTGTTTTTCGTATATTTTTATTAAAAATGTTTAGAATTCATCGAATTACAGTAAATGTGACAATTTAATCAAATACAAAATGTGCAATTGTTTTGTTTTTTGGGGGGGATTTTATGGGAAACTGTTCAAATATACGACTGGTATTTTAATGAGATTACCCTCGTTTGTTTTAAATGCATCATCCATTTGATTACTTGGCAATGTGCAATTGTTCATTTGAATGTAATTTGAGGATTTTACGTAAAATGGTTTATTTTGATGAGAAAGTAATAATCCACCCACGTGTTTTCATTTTATTCATAGTTTCATGATTTTGACAGTTATTTACCGAAATGAATTCTTTATTTTGCTCATGCATTGTGATTTTCTGTACAATAGTTTTTTTAATGACCTTTTTTTTTTTTTTTTTAATTCGTCATGTCGCCAATTATTTAGCACCACGCCCATTTGTATTTTTAACTGCGCCATAATTAGACGCGATGGCCAAAATTCTTATTTGCATTTTATATAATGCACATTTTTGAACCATTAAAGAAAAGCAGTTTCATGCATCAACAAGTTGCCGACTAATTTTGTGACTCATCGCTGACGTCGATGCAAACGGACTCACCGTCAGCGTCGGCGAGCTCTTCGTCGTCGGCCTCCGGGTTCCCCCGAGGCGAGGTCTGGACGGGTCGGGCGCCGAGGCTCAGGTGGCTCTCCCAGCCCGAGCGGATGACCTCCTTGTCAGCGGGGCTCCACAGCAGCGAGTCGGGGTGCTTCTGGCGGATGTGTCGCTTGATGGTGCTCAGCTTGAGAGTGGCCAGCGAGCTGCCGCACACCATGCAGATCATGCCGTGCCGCAGCGGGTCAAAGTCCATCAGGTATTCGCTGCGCCAGTACTCGTGGTAGTAGCGCCGGTGGTCCCGGCCCGGGATGCGACTCAGGCCGGGCCGCGACGCC